GTCGACGAGGTTGTGAAGTTACATCGACTAATATGGTTAGGGCATGTGATACGGATGGCTAGTCAACGCCTTCCTCAACGGTTAATGCTGACCTCCATAGGATCGGTGAGGTTGGATAAGAATTGGTGGTGGTCAAACTAAAACCAACATGGCTTCATCAGTCAATGAAATCCATAAAAGTTAGTTTAAGCCAGCCAGCCAGCCACGTAGGGAGGTGTAGATTGCTTGACAGCTAGTTGGGGTCTTCGGGATGGTGAGAGCCAATCAAGTCTGAAGACCATTTGTGATATGACTAGTTCACAATCATCGTTCTCTGTGATCACTGGTGCAGATGCATTCACTCTTTGTGGTGATTTGAGATATCCAATAAAACTCTGTTGTTCTTCCATATCATTACTCTCTTCTGTTTATTATCTCGGTGGCACAGTGGTTAGGACTCTCGCCGACCATGCACATGGTCCGGGGTTCGAGCCCGCACCGACGCACACCTGATATCTATGGTCAGCCTGCAAAATTTGGGCTACCGATATCCATGCTGAGAATTCCATACCTGTACCGAAAATACAGTGTGGAATCAAGCTGTAAATCAAAAATCAAAAAATTAAAATATCTCTCCTAATTCTCTTGTCTTGTTTTGTGTGTTACATGGAAGAGGAATGGCAAGTTTAAATGCTACACATCTGTGTAAAATTTTGTGTTAAAACCAGTCAGTCAGTCAGTCGCAGTCGTAAGGAAGAACAGAAGGCATTTGATTTGCATCAAAACGATGTAAGTGCGCCTTGTTAACGTATGCTACCGGTAACAATACCTATTGAGGTTATAAAATTGATGGAGATTTTCGATTAATGACAGCTGTGTGTTCATGAACCAACATCACTTAGAGATCATTGAAAACAAGAGAGTACACACTGGACAACCGTTTCAACTTGTTTTGGGATTGGCTACTGGATGGATTTCCTAAATCTGTTGTGTGAAGTAGTGACTAGTGGGGCCACTCTGTCAAGGTGAAGTGGGATCCAACCGATAGCACCAATGAGGGCCACAAACTGATAAATCTAGAATTCACACGTCATTGGATATGATTTCGAGTGGCGAAATAGTCAACGAGCTTAGCCTCTTAACCTAATGGATATAGGTTTAATTCCTATTAGGGTCGTCGGTGCGCATAACTGAAGAATCCCGGAACAGAACAAAACAGGCTGTCCAGCACTCCATGGTTTTCAATGATCTGCCTAACTGATTCGAGTTCGTGAAGAAATCTAAAAAGCTAGACGATGCCTATATTAAGCAGGAGATCATTTTCTCGGGATCTTGACAAGTGAAACTGATGGATTGTAACCGTCTGTAACATAGGTGGAAAAACGTCTATATTCGTTGGTGTAGATACATCTAATTTTTTTATCAGTATTTAAGCGTTGATTTCTCCAATATCTACTGGTCTTTTTACAGAAACCGTCGGCTAATCAACTGTCGTATCCTTCCATATTCTTTTATTTAATAAGTTAAAAAAAACATGATGGCCATAATCATGACGCGCGTCTTGTTCTACACCCCTCGCTATCAGAGCAATTTTCATTTAGAATACAAGAGATGATGTCCATATCAATCAACTGAAGGCATGAGACTTTAAGGCAGGCAAAACATTGTAAGCATCAATTACAAACTAACTATCTAGACTACAGTAAAAGACACTCTGATGCAAGGCGATATGAATTCAATTCAGAAATTTCGACAAAAATAATCTCAAGTACCAACCAGTAAAATGTGTAATAGTACTCATTGCACAAATGTGAAGACTACAGCTTTGGTAAAAACGAGTGCTGGATCGAATTCTCAGCGAAAAAAACGCTGAAATGCCTCTATACACCATAGGATTCATCTCAAATAGGATGAAACCCGTACACTAGATTTCAGAACTAACCATCAGCACTACCAAACAAAAAATGCTATAGTTGACATTTCAGAATATATTTTGAAACTCGTCATTTTGCTGGAGTACAAGAAACTTATTCGTTATTCGTCACCATCACCTGTTATATCATATCACAGACAAAAAGGTGGAACAAGAGAAAATACACGAGGAGGTAGCGAAAAAAAATAACAACAGATGTATTAACATGCTCAATATCAGTAGCATCCCAGATTTTAGGTGTCAGTGAAATCTACTAAAGAGTTGTATTACTTTTGGTGTTGAAAGAGGCATTTTGATGGGACGATGTAGAGAAAATATACAATAATTGCAAACTAGAATGCAAAAAAAAGTCTAGAATTTTCGGGTTTTTCAATGGCTCTCCAATCGATGTCAACTCATAATGAAATCCTGCAACTGAATCAAATCTGAAACACACTAGTGACTGGCCCTATTCAGGTAGGTAGTTACTTGGATTCTAATGAGAAGTTGTGGCCAGTGGGGTTCATCACCAGGTCGAGTATGATGACACATACTCGCTACCGTCGACATTGGCTAGCGGTCCAGCTAAATCTTGGATTGGAAAAAGTTGGAATCAATGTGTTGACCACTGAACCGGGTCCCAATGACTTGATGGTGAAGGAGCCGCTCTGTAACCGGAGGGTTGTGTGTTCGAACCTCTGTGGTGGGTGTGTTCTGCTGAAAATCGTAGGTATTAGGACGAAACATCTGTTTGTCCTATACTCCTTGGTGTTTTTCCAACGATCCTCTAACCAATAATATCAGCTCATAATCAAATCCTATAACCAATCAAATCCCTACAAACCAACATTTGACTATAAAAATTCATTGGTTCGATTTGGTATACTTTTCGACAACTCGAAAAAGGGGGAGAACAGTCAGTCTTTGGTTAGTAGTCAGCTAAAGTGTTTCAGCACCTACTGGAAAAGGATGAACTTAAAAGTTATCAGTTTACAGGCAAAGAAATCATGTCACAGGAGTAGTATATGCTAGTCTTGAATACCTCTGATTCATTTTGTCTGACCTCCAAATGAAACACAGGATACTAAGCTTTGAGTTTTAAAGTTTCAATGGCAATGACGTTTTTCTGCAGTGAGGTGTGAATTTACTCGTCCATACTCGACCCACCATATTTTCTAGGCGCATTGTCAGTTAGTTAACTAGAAGAGATTTAGAATTGAGTGACAGGTGGGGCTGACGAGCATCCTACAACTGATGTGCACCACTTATATGTGACGAAAACTTATTTCGATATAACGACATCTAATCATCTACGATATCAGTGGATAATGGCACCAGGCAACAAATTCAAAAAGATTCAAGTAACCCTCTCATTTGATTTAAGTGATGAACTAATGATTTAAATGTCATGACGTCTATCCAGTAATTTCTCTAGTTTAGTTTGTTGTAGTCTATTCAAATATGGCGTCTCATGGTGTTTATATAACTCTTGTAAGCATTTAAAATGCCTAATAACCTTCTGATCAGCAATTTTCTGCTAAAATTTAGAAAAAGCAAAGTCGGCAGTAGATCTGCTGTCAGTTGGTTACTCTTAACTACGGCAGCTCAAAACGGAACTACCTAATGAACGGATTAATGACCTTGAGTAAACAATCCGATGAGTTGGTAGTATATAGACGGGATCATGGCTGCTGTATACGAATTACGCAACAAATTTCATCGTGATCTAGTATTTACATACTGCTATGACAACAGGCTTACTGGAAGGCAGAAAACGTATAGCTAACTGTCATCCTGGGTTATATTCACTATGCGGTCAATCATACGGATGATTTCGTCAATTTTTCGATGGGGCCCACACAAATTCCATCAATAATTGCTGGACTCACATAAGAGATAGGATGAGATGTGTGTGTGTGTCAAGAAAAACGATGATTTACAGTTACGTCAACGAATTCATGTACATAAATTGGCTTTGGCCTGACTATGAGGACTCTCATGAGAAAATGGGAGGTTTTTTTGAAACGCATATAGGAATGCTATCCGGTGTAACTCCTTCTAAATACTGCACTACTTACATATATAGATTGTTTTTCAAATTACGCACTTTTACACTGGACGCATTTGATTGGTCGATAGAGATTTGTCAAGGTCTTCATTAGATAGTTTCGTTTTGGGCTGTTATCGTTTAGAATAAGCTCACTTATTATTTATACTGGAAGTTCCTGGATTAAGAGAAACTGTTTGTGCAATAATTTCCTCTGGTAACTCTGTACCCAATATAAACACTGTTCAGGATAGAGCGATTGTTTTTGACCATTAACTTCATAAGTGTAATATCTATTGATTTAAACAAAAGTTTCATGAACAAATATCTAAAATCATCCATGTTCACTGAACAACATCGATCTGTATCAGCAAAATAATTTAATAAATATTCTATTTTGAAATAATTTACAAAAACAGAGGATATCAAAGCCAGAATCGGAAAAGCAAGACAAGCTTTCATTACTCTCAAGTCTGTGTGGAGGTCAACATGACCCACCATGGAAAATAAGATCCGGATTTTCAACTCCAATATGAAGTCAGTCAGTGATACTCACTATACGGATCAGAGACTTGGCCAGTGCGTCATAAAGAGCATCTCAAACAAACTACACACCTTCATTAACAGTTGTCTTCGCTCAATCACACTCAAGATCAGATGGCCGGCCAGAAAAGATCAGCAACAGGGATCTCTGGCAGTGAGCGAACCAACACCACAGGGACCGATTGTGAAACAAATAGGCAGGAGGAAATGGAGATGGATTGGCTGGTCATACACTGAGGAAACCAACCATCAAGTGACATCACTAGACAAGCCATTGCTCGAGTGGAACCAGGCCGAAAGGGAAGCGGCGAGTTGGTCGTCAGTGGTCGTCAGGGTGAGGGTGACTTGGAGGAGGTCATGTGAAGAGGAGATGTAAGCGTGTGGCCAGACTTGGAGCGGGGTGAAAACGTTGGCAGAAAACCGAAGGCAATGGAGACGCGCGGCTGAAGCCCTATGTTCTTCTAGGAATTAAAGGATATTTAATAATAATAAATACAAAAATAGAAATGAACAACTCACCTGGTATTGATATAGACTGTATTGTCTATATACGTGTATGTATGTGTGTATGTAAGTGTGTGTCTCTTTGTTTGTTTGTTTGTTTGTCTATTTGTGTTAGAGAAGTAATTGTAATGCTCAAAGGAATATTCACAGCCATTGAATATTGAATTAACAAATAAATAAATAAATAATTGATTTCTTCTCATAAATATTATTATTATTAATTATTATTTTCGATGGTCTCAGGAAGATCACCTATGTGTGTGTGAAAAAATAATAATAATAAAGGTTCATTTATGAATATTAATAGAAAATAGTTTGAAAGAGATTCTCCAAATTATAAATTTAAAAATACGATATCCAGTGAACCATGCATATAAATGGTTTTTTGTAATTCACTCACAGTCTGCTTTAAGATAAGAAATATTTATAATTTTGATTGAGTTGACTCTGACCCTTCCTTCATAAAAGTCATACTTACAAAAAAGGATTGTTTGAACTGATTCATTGACGAAACCGTGAAAGGTAAGCAGTCCAAACACGTCAGCAACTCAGTTCCAAAGAAAACTACATTCAAGTATTGGTTTTTGCAGAGTTTTAGTTTCATTGGTTGAAGGATTTCAATGAGGAGCTTAAGATTATTAAAGAATTACTTAGAAAAAAATGGTTATCCAGATAAGTTTATTGAGAAAAAATATCAATTCAGCACCAAGGAGAGTCAGTATGGCGGCGAGTGGGAAGTCAGTGCAAGGGTGACATGGAGGAGATCGTGTGAAGAGGAGTTGAAACAATATGGACTGACATGGATACAGGTGAAACGTACAGCAGAAGGAAGATAGAAGCAAGTGGAGACGGTCAGTTGAAACCCTATGTTCCACTAGGAACCCAAGGGAACAATAAAAATATAATAATAAATAAACAATTAGTTATCAGTGAGTGAAAGAACGTGAATATATCAAGACTTTCGAACTAGATGATATTGATGATAATAATATTAATGCTAATAAAAGTAATAATAATAAGTCACATCATCCTGAAGGGAATCAAAGATGGAATGGATTCAGAACTGCGCCAACCTGGGACAAGTGGGATTCAATAAAGGAAAATCATGTGAGAATCACATTGCAACTCTACGCGTCATCATCACCATCATCATCGAACAAAGCATAGAATGGCAATCAAACCTCTACATCGAATTCATCAACTTTGAAAAGGCCTTCGACAGACAGCATTGACCAAGAAGTAATTTGGAAACTGAATCAAAACTATGGCGTGCAGCACCTCAAATCTTTATCACCCTCATTCAACAGTTGGCTATATGGCAGTACCAAGTGTCAGGTGAACCACAACAGAAAATTCAGTGATGCATTCGAGGTGAATACATGAGTATGACGAGGCTGCCCATTATGACAATTGATGATATTCTTAATTGTAGTGGACTGAATTATATGTCAGATTGTGAAGAGGGAGTGAGAAGACAGGAATCTGATGCACTAACGATATGAAGACTCTAGAAGACTTGCACTTAGCTGATGACTTAGGTTTAATGTCACGCATACTCAAAGATTTGTCGGCGAAAACCAACAAACTGACTGATGAGGCTAACATCGAAGATAGGACTCCATGTGAACATAGAGAAGACGAAGGTGATCAAGACGACTCCATTGCGTCTCTATTGCCTTCGGTTTTCTGCCAATGTTTTCACCCCGCTCCTAGTCTGCAAACACGCTTACATCTCCTCTTCACATGACCTCCTCCAAGTCACCCTCACCCTGACGACCACTGACGACCAACTCGCCACTTCCCTTCCAATCGGGTTCCACTCGAGCAATGGCTTGTCTAGTGATGTCACTTGATGGTTGGTTTCCTCAGAGTATGACCAGCCAATCCATCTCCATTTCCTCCTGTCTATTTGTTTCACAATCGGTCCCTGTGGTGTTGGTTCGCTCACTGCCAGAGATCTCTCCCTGTTTCTGATGTTTTCTGGCCGGCCATCTGATCTTGAGTGTGATTGAGCGAAGACAACTGTTAATGAAGGTGTGTAGTTTGTTTGAGATGCTCTTTATGACGCACTGGCCAAGTCTCTGATCCGTACGTATATTAGCTAGCACTGACTTCATATTGGAGTCGAAAATCGGGTTCGTATTTTCATTTTCATGCTGAGTGCTGTTGACCTCCACACAGACTTGAGAGTAATGAAAGCTTGTCTTGCTTTTCCGATCCTCGCTTGCATATTCTCATTAGTTCCATCCGCCTGTAGTTGAAATGATGTTTCCCAGGTATGTAGGTATGGTGAAGAAGTTTGCTCCTTTCAGATTTCTCCAATTTATGCTGATTGTTGTCTGTTGTTGTTGCTGTTGGTATTGGCCAGGAATCTTCATCACCTCTCTTTTCTCTATGTTCACCCGCAGTGAAGTCCTATCTTTGATGCTTCTTCTGCCACCTTGTTGATTTTCACTTGCATATCTTCCAGTTTGTGGGAAATCAGATATAAATATATATCATCGGCGAAGTCCAGATCCAGATCCTCCAAGATTTTTGTGTGGGTCCATCTTATGCCTGTTTCCTCATTGCCCGTTGTCTGTGGCATTATCCGATCTACCGCAATCAGGAAAAGCATTAGAGATAGTAGGCAGCCAGCTACCTTGTCTTACTTCTGTCTTCACTTCAAAGGATTCCGTGAGTTTCTTGTTGTGGATTACTTGGCATGCAGCATTGTCGTATAATTGTTGGTGGCACCCCGTAGTAGTGAAGTAGTTGCCAAACCACCTCTCGATTGACGCTGTCGAAGGCCTTTTCAAAGTCGATGAAGTTGAGATAGAGAGCTGACTGCCATTCCAATCTCTGTTCAGTGATGATCCGTAGAGTGGCGATTTGATCAGTACATGACTTGTTCCTCCTGAATCCAGCTTGTTCCGGTCGAAGTTTTTCATCCAGGGCTTGTTTAATTAGTTTATATGTGCCAACAATTGCTTTGCCACTTGACCCTTGATATTTAACTATAATTGTAATCAAAAACATTTTAACCGCATTTCACATTATTATTATTATTTTATGTATTCCCGCCTTTCTGTAAATATTCCTGGGTGATATAATTTCTTATAAAAAACCAAATTATATCACGCATCTTAAAAAATCGATCTTCCCAACAAATACACACCATCACTTCGACACAATGACTAGAATTCAAACATGATCATATAATGAGTGGCAGCGAGGACGAAACACTCCTCCTTTATTCTTCTGCCAGCTTCCACTCACTGAAAGAAATAAAATTAACCAAAGTAATTAAGTGCAAATAACTTATGTTAGTAAATTCTATCTCACATAATAATCATTGACAGTTCAAACTGCGTATATCAATTTGAGTGTGTTTGTGGAAACAAATGCACAGATCGTACGGAAAGGTGACTGTCTACTTGCATGATGGAGCGTTTGCCAAAGTGATTGAAAACAGTTAAAATCAGAGTGCCTTAAAGTTCAATTACAGAGCGTTTTATGGATTACAGACAAGATATTGATACTGTCAAGTTATTCAGTGTTGTCAGCAGACAAACAAACAGGAAGATGTTTGCAATTGTAGAAGCTTGTGTAATTCGAGTTTATTAACGATGTGGTCACTGTGTACTAGGGGAAATGGTGGTCACTCTGAATCCACCAAGGGAATATGTTTTACTTAATAAATGTTATTATTAATATTTTATTCTACCTCTTATTATTATTATTATTTCTGATTCATTTAAAACTAACTTTGATCATTACCATTATCGCAACTCGTTTTAACATTATCATTTTGATTATTATTAGTGTTACTATAATAATATTATACCCTCCGGTTTCAGGTGGAACACAAGGTTTCAACAACACATCTCAACGCTGTTCCATTCTTCCCATCCTCTTCAGCTGGGTCGACGATTGAACATAATCTGTCATCTCTTCCTAGCCACACTGTCTCCTCCATGTCACCCTCACAACAACGACCTGGTCGTCACTTTCCTTTGGGATTCCACAAGAATGGTGGATGGCCTGGTGTGAGATATAATTTGATGGCCTACTAAAAGTATGCCAGATCCATTTCATTTTTCTCTGACATATTTGTTGAACAATCGACGCTTGGCTGGTTTGTTCCCAGCCAGAATTTCTTTTTTCTAATTCTTTCTGGCCTGCCAGTCACCTGATCTTTAATATAAAGCCAGAGAATTTGGCCACTGTTGGCAAAAGTCCGTAACTTGTTGGAAATCCTTTTCGTGACAAGCAGTGCAAATTTCTGACCCATATAGAAGCACTGACTGACTGACTGAATTCATATTTATGCTGAACTTTCGAATCTATTTCTTTATGCTGATTGAGTGCAGAAGATTTCCAAACTGGTTCCAGGTTGATGAAGGCGTATCTCTTCTTTACGATTCTGATTTGCTTGACATCTTAATCCGTTCCGATGGCCTGTGATTGAAACCGTACCTTCTGGCCAGATAAGTGAAGGAAGTAACCTCTATGGAATCTCTCCCTTTGATGCTGATTGGTGCTGGTTGTTGTTATTACTATTCAGATATTATATAGAAGATTTGTAGCTCAGGTGGATGATTTTGATGTGGTTTTGTTCTCTGAGCTGATATTTAATTTGTGAGCTTTCATTGCCCCACCACTAGGCGACATCTTCAGCGCATACTTCAATTTAGTGAAGTGAACTTTAAGATATCTCCATGAGTTTATTAATCATCTCTCCTGGTCACCTTGGACGTGATTGGTTGTTTTTGTGTGTTTTCACACCTTCTAGGTTACTTGTATTGGGGCTGGTTGTTTCTTTGACTTAAACTTTGACCCTTTTGTGTGTGAAGCTTCTCTCTTATTTGAACACCCATGGGATCGCCAATATCACGTTTGATTGCAGAAGCAGTGATGCAAAGACTCGAAAACATAATTCTACCAAAGATAAAACCCAAGATTTGGATACGCTACGTCGACGACACATTTGTAATAATCAAAAGAAACGAATTAGATAAAACTCACAACTTAATAAACAACGTCTTCAACGACATCAAATTCACAAGAGAAGAGGAATCCGAGAACAAAATACCATTTTTGAACGTCTTAATCAGGCGAACAACTACAGGAGAATTAGAAACTCAATTTTATAGGAAATCAACTCACACGGACCAAATACTGAATTACAACAGCAACAACCCAATAACACACAAAAGGAATTGCATACAAACACTATTCAAGAGGGCCAGTCAGGACTCATTGCAGCACTC